CGTTAAAAGGGTGAATTCTTGAGTACTTTGTAGTGGTACTTGTCTTGCTACGGAATTTATAGGTAACTAGCGGCCGCCCGCGATTTCGTACGCGTGAATCCCGTTTTATCCCCTTGGGGGTGGAGTTTTGTAAAATCCTTTCTTAGCGGATGCCTACGTCATAACATCTACCTGCATGCCAAATTTCAGCCCGATCCGTCCAGTGGCTGTGCGTTGATAACGGCCGCCCGCGACTTCGTACGTGTGGATCCCGTTTTACCCCCTTAGGGGTGGAGTTTCGTAAAATCCTTTTTTAGCAGATGCCTATGTCATAACATCTACAAAAAACTTTGACTGTAATATAATATGCTTACCAAAATCGTTTTCCTTGTTTTACTTATTTATTCTAACAAATTGGAATCCTATCCTAGAACTATTGGAAGGTGCGGGGCTTGTTTTGCGTTATATCCTATTTTTCTATCTACCCGTGTTCTAAAGACACGAATATACGACAACTAAGGTTAGCGAATTTCATAGTCAAATTATTTTTAAAATTCAATTTTATTTTATTTAAGACAAAGGTAGCAGGAAGGCGCTGGATGCAGGCCGCTACCAACCGTGCGATGTGGAAGTCATTGGGGGAGGAATATGTTCGGCAGTAGACGTCAGGTGGCTGGAATGATGATGTAATAGAACTTACTGCACAATTCAAGTATTCCTTAAGTAGAATTTATTACGATTTGATGGAGGAAAATATGCTTCTTCACGTGGTATGTTTCTCGATTACCATTTTAGTTGTCACTTCAGACAGGCTCTATTAAAACAGATTTAGAGCGCTTTCACATTTAGGCGACTTTAGCACCACGACAAACGTGCGACAGATGCGCTGCCGATAATTTCATACTACGCGACAGCGGAAGCATGCCTTCAAATTATAAAAACGCCACTGCCGCGCTGCTGTGGCGCTTCTAACGCCCTAATGTGAAAGCGCTCTTAGGGTACACTTTTAATTGCAATCTCTGAAAAGTTCAGCGGGTTATCGCGACGAAATATATAGATCACATAAGCTGCAAAGGAACAGAGATGATTGAATCGCTCGCGAAACTCTACGTCCGTGTGTATTTACTACGCAGCATCCTCATTCAAACGTGGGTGCAATGACCTCGCCAGGTGTACGTACCTGTTTGCGCACGCTTCACTGCCCTGTTATTTGGTCTTACAGTCAGGGCAATGAAAATATACGGTTGTTCAAGAGCTTTACCCTAAAATGAACTTGCGCCTCGAAGAAAAGTTTTACGTGACGTCATTTATACAACTACAACAAAAAGTAGGTATAAGTAGTTTGCACGTGTGTATAGTATAGTTTGCTAGCGAAAAAGAAGAAGTAAAATAGAAAAGTGAGGACTTAGGAGTGACACCATGTCATAATTTCCAGACCCATTGCAGGACTTCAGTCAGTGTGTGGAGAGTATTGAAGGCCACGACCCTGGTTTCTATTTTCAAGATGCCCCGTAAAAGGCATGAATAACTTATCCGTAGTAGATCTCCTATTATTGGTTATTCAGTAAGTTAAGTTTAATCTAGTATTTTTTCGTTAAAACCACTTTGAACACCTCTATAAAATTAAAAGAGAACCAGAAACTTTTTAAACACAGATTTTCATGTGCATTAATTATTAAGAACCTCGTCATGTTTTATTATACCACCGACCCCCACATCCTTCGTGGAATAACTAAAATAATCATTAAACCTGTATCTGGATTTCTAGTACTATTTTCTGGAACACCACCCTTTCTATTTTCTTAAACGTCCATAATAAGGTTTAAAATGGAATGCACCTGTTTACATTTCATTGTCTACCGTATCAGCAGACTGGTCTTTTTGTTTAAAACTCGCTCTTATTACAACTCACATAAGATGCCTCAGTGTTAAGCTTGAAGTGCCGTTTGTAATGTTCTGTTTAATGTTCGTGCCGCGTCAGCAGAATTCGCCCTAAGCCATCTGGGCCGATGAGAGCCGTTAAAGTTAAGTACAGTCTATCCAAAATTATTAGCTCAGCAGTAACGGAACCCTTTAGTGGGATTTGTACAGTCGCTGGTTTGTTACATGGTTGTGGTGTATAGGATTTCGAGGCAAGCGAATAGATGGCGTGAAGCACTGTAGCTTTTTGAGGAAAGAGATCGTAACCGTATCAACTCGAGGCGGTCAATATTCTTTGTATGACTCCATACTGCAACGCACACTTATACGCACCGTAACGTAAACGCCTCGCATGGCGGTTGACAGCGCGCGAAAGGCGATGACAGCTCGCGAAAGGCAATACGGTGTTGATCCCTTTCCGAGTTGATAAGTCTGCTATGACCTTTATTCTATTTATTATTACAACGCTGACTACTTCCGTGTCCAAGAGTTACAGCTCTAAAGAGAAATTATAAAAGACACTACAAATGTAGCAACGTAGCTGACACTGGTCGAAAGATATAGCTGACCATCAGGGTCAGTGGTGAAGACCTACCTATATTTAGCAGTAAATTGATGATGATGAGATAAAATTGCAACAGAAATAGCAAATAATATTTAGTTATTTTATTTTAAGTTATTTTTTCAATCCATTCATGTAATTATTTTTTTTATATTCTTGTCAGTTTACACTGCGCCGTCTATTCTTAAACAAAGAAGGATGCTTGTACTTGGACAACGGATATAAACATACTATAATACTTTTTTGTTAATACATAAAATAAAATTTATCATCGTTAGCATTACACAGTACAAAATTGCAAATAGACAATACCTGTCCCTAAAAATCCAAAGCGTATAAATCAATAAACACGTATTCATACTAATTCGCTCCAGCAAATACAAATACTATAAAAACCCAATCACTTCGTACCGATTACGAAAAAGGAATGTGACGTGACAGTGTGGTTCAGCAAAAACGCGGAATGCCCGTTGTCACCTCCATCTATCTCAATAAATTCCAGTGACGGGTCAGGGCGCTAGACATTGAAAATGGCACGAGGAAAAGTGCCGGATCGGCTAATTAGGGATGTGAAACAGTCGATGGAAATATCGAGTGTTTTTTTTTGTAGTTACTTTTTACCAGGCTTAGAGTCGATAATTAAGTACAGTGTCGATGATTTGAAATGCTCTAAAAATAGTCTGATTTAAGAAGGAATGTGACGTGACAGTGTGGTTCAGCAAAAACGCGGAATGCCCGTTGTCACCTCCATCTATCTCAATAAGTTCCAGTGACGGGTCAGGGCGCTAGACATTGAAAATGGCACGAGGAAAAGTGCCGGGTCGGCTAATTAGGGAGGTGAAACAGTCGATGAAATTATCGAGTGTTTTCTTTGAACAGTCACTTTTTGTCAGGCTTAGATTCGATAATTAGGTACAGTGTCGATGATTCGAAATACTCTAAAAATAGTCTGGTTTAAGAAGGAATGTGACGTGACAGTGTGGTTCAGCAAAAACGCGGAATGCCCGTTGTCACCTCCATCTATCTCAATAAGTTGAGGAGACGGGTCAGGGCGCTAGACATTGAAAATGGCACGAGGAAAAGTGCCGGATCGGCTAATTAGGGAGGTGAAATAGTCGATGAAATTATCGAGTGTTTTCTTTGAATAGTCACTTTTTGTCAGGCTTAGAGTCGATAATTAGGTACAGTGTCGATGATTTGAAATGCTCTAAAAATAGTCTGGTTTAAGAAGGAATGTGACGTGACAGTGTGGTTCAGCAAAATCGCGGAATGCCCGTTGTCACCTCCATCTATCTCAATAAGTTCCAGTGACAGGTCAGGGCGCTAGACATTGAAAATGGCACGAGGAAAAGTGCCGGGTCGGCTAATTAGGGTGGTGAAATAGTCGATGGAATTAAAATCAAAAAAATCAAAATCAAAAATATTTATTCAGTTTAGACCACAAGTGGCACTTATGAACGTCAATAGAAAATAATAAAAAAAGAAAAAGGTAGCCCTTATGGGGCACTTTACATGTCTCCTTATCTTTTGGGCCCTACCAGCGCTTCGAGACAAACATATGGCAAGTGCTGAGAAGAAACGCCGGAACAAACTNTCATTGCATTTAATATACTTATTATCAATTTTTAACGTTTATTTGTATCGAGTGTTTTCTTTGAACAGTCACTTTTTGTCAGGCTTAGATTCGATAATTAGGTACAGTGTCGATGATTCGAAATACTCTAAAAATAGTCTGGTTTAAGAAGGAATGTGACGTGACAGTGTGGTTCAGCAAAATCGCGGAATGCCCGTTGTCACCTCCATCTATCTCAATAAGTTCCAGTGACAGGTCAGGGCGCTAGACATTGAAAATGGCACGAGGAAAAGTGCCGGATCGGCTAATTAGGGTGGTGAAACAGTCGATGGAAATATCGAGTGTTTTCTTTACATAGTACAGAGTATCGATGATTTAAAATAGGTACTTGAAAAATAGCGTCCGTCATACTGGCAGGGTTGCTTCCGCCAAATTAAAGGACCTAAGAAGGTGAATTTGTTGAGACATTACTAGACATTGAGTTTAGATTATTATAGTCATACAGTGATTTCACCATAATGTGGTTACCGTGTCAATAACATTTGTAATAAATTGCATTGTAAAGTTCAATGTCCAAATTGACACACGCACGGACACGTGACACCGAACTGTAATGTTTTAGTTAGGTATTATGAATAAATGAGTTGGAACTAGAATCTTGTGTTGATCACTTGGTTTCCCTGCCCTACACAACACTTAACTACACACACGCACGAAGTACCCACATTGGTGACCCCGACGNCGTAAAATGGTTGTGGCAGATGGGGCACTGTGAATTAAGCAAAAGAGTTTTAGTAAATCCGTTTCATTAATGGTCAACAACAAGGATTGACCTATCTTTCACAGTTATTAAATAATCTCTGGGTGTTGCTTAAGATAGTAATTCATGCTTCCAAAATCTTAGAAATTCGCACGAAAATGTAAAATGGCTCTTAAGTGGTTAAATATAATTATCTGCATTCACAGGCTCGCATACAGAAATGTATCTGCTCAGTGGCGTCGGACCACACCGTTACATTGCTCAGTAAGTGTTTTATTTCATCTATTAGTTAAACGTAACGTCATTGCTGTATGAAAAACAAAACTGTCAATGGATCTTGCTCTATATTTCCTACTTTGTCTTTTTACTTGCAATAAAATTATCATTTAATCGATCTCGTGCATTGTATTTCCGCCTATAATTCAACACAGTTTGTATTCTCTATTACATCATAATATGACAATGTCACCCTTTTCGTGCCGCTTCCATACCTCAGACACTGACTGAGTTAAAGGTCACAGAAACTAAAGGGTGATGTGCCAAGGGGGCGGAGCCGGTGTCGCAGCAATATGCCCAAAAACAGAATACATTGCTCTTGAAAGCAATGATGACAGCAGCGACGTCATAATGTAAACAGTTTACATTGCTTGCGTAGTACTAAAGATTATTCGAACGTTGAGTACTGATACCGCAGTGGATAATGAGCACATATTTTGATTTCTTTGTGTGTGTGAATTTGTAATGCGACACTGAGTTTCGAACTCAGCGCATTAGTTGGCATCTCTCTATATCTCTATGGTCTACTATAATAAAGAATTTTAGTTGTTCACACCCTAACATTGTATTCTCTAGGTCTATCCGAGCGCAAATGCGTGACCCTGGCCTCCCGCCACTTATTCCCGGTCGTCAGCATCAAGTGGCGGCCCTTGGACGACTTCATGGTGGTGGGCTGCAGCGACGGCACCGTCTACGTGTGGCAGATGGAGACCGGCCATTTGGACCGGGTGCTGCATGGTGAGGCAGGCTCTTTAGGTGCAGAAAGAGATGGAGCATCCTTAGTGACATGGTGAGGAAGCGAGACGGATTATGATGGAGCTACAGAATCAAGTGTCTATAAGCTGCCTTCAGATAGTAACAGGGAGTCCATAGCATAGTGTATTAGTGACTCTCTCCAAGATTATTAGTATAAAGTGTCTTTGGGCTGCCTTCAGCTGGACAGGTTCTTTAGACGCAGAAGGAGGCGGAGCATCCTTAGTTGCTTGGTGAGGAAGCGAGGCGGATTATGATGGACCTACAGCGTCAAGTGTCTTCAGACTCCCTTCAGCTAGACATAGGTTCTTTAGAGGCAGAAAGAGACGGAGCATCATTAGTTACATGGTGAGGGAGCGAGACAGATTAATGGACTTATAACATCAGATGTCTTTAGATTGCTTTCAGCTAGAGACAGGTTCTTTTGATGCAGAAAGAGATGGAGCATCTTTAGTTACTTGGTGAGTGAGGGAGACCGTTCATCATGGGCGATCTTTAGCATCAAGTGTCTATGATCTGCCTTCGGCTAGTGACAAGGAGTCCTTAGCATAGAGTAAGTGTCTCTCTTCTCGACATATAGCATCTCTCCCTACGGGCCGGCCCTGTGCGCCAGGCGTCCAGCACACGCGACCCTCAAGTGGCGGCCCTTGGACGACTTCATGGTGGTGGGCTGCAGCGACGGCACCGTCTACGTGTGGCAGATGGAGACCGGCCATCTGGACCGGGTGCTGCATGGTGAGCCAGGTTCTTTAGGTGCAGAAAGAGACGGAACATTCTTAGGTACTTGGTGAGTAAGCGAGACGGATTATGATGGAGCTATAGCATCAAGTGTCTTCATATGGAGCCCACAGCAGAACGTGTGAGTGCCTTTCTTCAAGACCTGTACCATCAAGTGTCTATAAGCTGCGAGACAGCTTATGATGGAGCTATAGCATCAAGTGTCTTCAGGCTCCCTTCAGCTAGACGCAGGTTCTTTAGATGCAGAAAGAGACGGAGCATCCTCAGTTACTTAATAACTGAGCGAGACAGTTCGTCATGGACGATCTTTTAGCATCAAGTGTCTTCTTCATGTGGAGTCCATAGCATAGCATGTCAGTGCCTCTCTTCAAGACCTGTAGCATCAAGTGTCTATAAGCTGTCTTTAGCTAGAGAAAGGTTCTTTAGATGCAAAATGAGAAGGCGCATCCTTAGTTACATGGTGCGGAAATGACACGGATTATGATGGACTTATAGCATCAAGTGTCTTCATATGGAGCCCATCGCAGAACGTGTGAGTGCCTCTCTTAAAGATCTGTAGCATCAAGTGTCTATAATCTGCCTTCAGCTAGATACAGGTTCTTCAGACGCAGAAAGAGACGGAGCATCCTTAGTTACTTGGTGAGGAAGCGAGACAGCTTTTAGTGGACGATATTTAGCATCAAGTGTGAAGTGTCTACCTTCGCATGGAGATCGGAGATTGGAAGTCACATAGGGTGTGAGTGCCTCTTTTCAAGACCTTTAGCATCAAGTGTCTATAAGTTGTCATCAGCTAGAGACAGGTTCTTAAGACGCAGAAAGTGACAGGGCATTCTTAGTCACTTGGTGAGTGAGTGAGACAGTTCTTCATGGTCATTCTTTAGCATCAAGTGTCTATAGATTGCCTTTCCATTGTTTATGGACTTATAGTATGAAGTGTCTTCAGGATCTCTTCAACTAGAGACAAGTTCTTCAGATGCAGAAAGAGATGGAGCATCTTCAATTACTTCTCTATAAGCTGCCTTCAGCTAGAGACAAGGAGACCTTAGGATAGTGTGAGTGCCTCTCTTCGCGACCTATAGCAACTCTCCCTACGGGCCGGCCCTGTGCGCCAGGCGTCCAGCACACACCATCAAGTGGCGGCCCTTGGACGACTTCATGGTGGTGGGCTGCAGCGACGGCACCGTCTACGTGTGGCAGATGGAGACCGGCCATCTGGACCGGGTGCTGCATGGTGAGTTGATGGGGCTCCCTTCAATTAGAGATAAGTTCTTTAGATGCAGAAAGAGATGGAGCATCCTTAGTTACTTGGTGAGGAAGCGAGACAGTTGCGATGGAAGACCTTTAGCATCAAGTGTCTTCTTTATATGGAGTCCATAGCATAGCGTGTGAGTGCCTTTCTTCAAGACCTTTGGCATCAAGTGTCTTCGAGCTGACACAGAAAGAAACGGAGCATCTTTAGTTACTTGGTGAGTAAGCGAGACAGATTATAATGGAACTTTAACATCAAGTGTTTTCTGGCTGCTTTCTGCTAGTGACGGGAGTCCATAGCATAGTGTATTAGTGACTCTCTCCAAGATTTTTAGTATCAAGTGTCTTTGGGCTGCCTTCAGCTATAGACAAGGAGCCCTTAGCATAGAGTAAGTGTCTCTCTTCTCGACATATAGCATCTCTTCCTACGGGCCGGCCCTGTGCGCCAGGCGTCCAGCACACACCATCAAGTGGCGGCCCTTGGACGACTTCATGGTGGTGGGCTGCAGCGACGGCACCGTCTACGTGTGGCAGATGGAGACCGGCCATCTGGACCGGGTGCTGCATGGTGAGGCAGGTTCTTAAAGGCAGAAAGAGATGGAGCATCCTTAGTGACATGGTGAAGAAGCGAGACGGATTATGATGGAGCTATAGCATCAAGTGTCTTTAGCTAGAGACAGGTTCTTTAGATGCAAAAAGAGTTGGAGTATCTTAAGTTGCTTGGCGAGGAAGCGAGACAGATTATGGTGGAGCTGTAACATCAAGTGTCTTCGGGCTGGCTTCTTCAGACGCAGAAAAAGACGGAGCATTTTTAGCATGGACTTGGTGAAGAAGCGGGACAGAATAAGTGTCCATAAGCTGCCTTCAGCTAGACTAGAGACAGTTTCTTTAGGTGCATTCTTAATAAGCGAGAGTGTAAGCGAGATAGATTATGATGGACCTAGCTACAGCATCAAGTGTCTTCGAGCTGTCTTCAGGTTCTTTAAACGCAGAAAGAGACGGTTCATCCTTAGTTACTTGGTGAGGAAGCGACACAGATTATGACAGACCTACAGCACCAAGTGTCTATAAGCTGCCTTCAGCTAGAGACAGGTTCTTTAGATGCAGAAAGAGACGGAGCATCCTTAGTTACTTAGTTAGTAAGCGAGACAGATTATGATGGACCAGCATCAAGTGTATTCAGGCTCCCTTCAGCTAGAAACAGGTTCTTTAGATGATGAAAGAGACGGAGCATCCTTAGTGACATGGTGAGGAAATGAGACGGATTATGATGGACCAGCATCAAGTGTCTTCAAACTCCCTTCAGCTGGAAACAGGTTCTTAGATGATGAAAGAGACGGAGCATCCTTAGTGACATGGTGAGTAAGCAAGACAGACTATGATGGACCTAGCTACAGCATTAAATGTGTACAGGCTGTGTCTTCTTTAGATAGAGACACAGAGTGACTCTCGTCTGGACAGTTCTTAGCGACCTTTAGCATTAAGGGCTGCCTTCAGCTATAGCCAAGTAGTACATAACATAGTGTGTGGGAGACTCTTTATGAAACCTTTAGCATTTTTTATTCATAGCTGCCTTGAGTTATTGGGGAGTTATTACAGGGAATCCATAGCAACTGCCTTCAACAGCTCTTAATGGACGGCCTTGAGTCTACGGGCTGCCGAACTATCAGCCAAAGTCTGTAGCCTACGGGACTCTGTTATTGACTTTCAAAAAGCTAAGGTCATTATAATAACCCTTAAAACTATTTACATAAGACTTATTTTCCACAGCCATGATCACTGAAGAGGTTATAGCAGCGTAATAACCCTTAAAACTATATACATAAGACATGTTATTCCACGGGCATGATCACCGAACAGGTTTTTTCAGCATAATAACCCTTAAAACTATCTTCATAAGACTCGTTATTCCACAGGCATGATAGCCGAAGAAGTGTTGGCAGCGTGCGACGAGACGCTAGCAGACGACCTGGGCGGCTCCCTCGCGTCGGGCACCAGCGACCTGCAGGGACTGGCTAACCCCGCTGTCCATTTCTTCAGGTCAGTGTCTATACGGGACTATTCCCACCTCTCGTTCCCACCGCTGCAACGCCTGTGTAGCTAGGAACCGCGGCTATTACCACATCTCGTTCCCAACATTTCTTCATGTCTGTGTACGTAATACCCCGTGATGTAGCGGGACTGTTCCCACCTCTCGTTCCCACCGCTGCAACTTCTGTTTAGCCAGGCTCCGAGACTATTCCCACCGCTGCAACTCCTGTGTAGCCAGGATCTACAGCTTGACTACCAATAATCCAACTAGTGAAGGTCAAGTTTGATAAGATTTGCTAACCCTGCTGTCCATTTCTTCAGGTCAGTTTCCATAGTGTAACAGGACTATTCCCACCTTTCTTTCCTACTGCTGCAACTCCTGTGTAGCCAGGATCTACAGCTTGACTTCCAGGGGTTGACGAATCCCGCTGTTCATTTCTTCAGGTCAGTGTCTGTAGCGGGCTTGTTCCCATTTCTCGTTCCTACCGCTGCAACTCCTGTTTAGCCAGGCTCCGAGACTATTCCCACCGCTGCAACTCCTGTGTAGCCAGGATCTACAGCTTGACTACCAATAATCCAACTAGTGAAGTAAGTTTGATAAGACTTGCAGGGACTGGCTAACCCCGCTGTCCATTTCTTCAGGTCAGTGTCCACACATTTGCTACCAAGCAACATCTGTCTACTTTACAGCGAAAGCACACGAGGCTTTTCGGCGCCGCACCGCAAAGACTTCGTCGTTTGGCTGATGGTAACTTTTATCCAGGTCAGGTTTTGATGGATTCAGATGCAGAAAAAGACTTGTCCAGAGTAAGACGGTGAGTTCTAAATGAGAGGTTATCAAGTGGCTACAGGCTGATTTCTTCAGGCACAGAAAGGGACGGAGCATCCTTAGTTATATGGTGTGGAAGCGAGACAGTTGGTGATGAATGACCTTTGGCATCAAATGTCGAGCTGAAGTGTTGGCAGCGTGCGACGAGACGCTAGCAGACGACCTGGGCGGCTCCCTCGCGTCGGGCACCAGCGACCTGCAGGGACTGGCTAACCCCGCTGTCCATTTCTTCAGGTCTGTGTCTATAATGTAACAGGAATAACGGTACCATCCCATCCCATCTCTCGTTCCCACCGCTGCAACACCTGTGTAGTCAAGATCAGGATCCCGTGCGCTGTAGCATGGTGCTGGTGACAGTCATGATCCAAGAGACCCGAATCAACCGGGGGCAGGGTCTGGCAAACCCCGCTGTTAATTTCTTCAGGTCATACCCTGTGACTATTCCTACCGCATCTCTGCTAACCTCTCGTTCCCACTCTGCAACTCATGTGTAGCCAGAATCTACAGCTTGACTTTCAGGGGCCGACGAATACCGCTGTCCATTTCTTCAGGTCAGTGTCCATATTCTAACGGGACTATTCCCACCTCTGCAACTCCTGTGTAGCCAGGATCTACAGCAGTGAAGGTCAAGTTTGACCAGACCTGCAAGGACTGGCTATCCCCGCTGTCCATTTCTTCAGGTCAGTGTCTATACGGGACTATTCCCACCTCTCGTTCCCACCGCTGCAACTCTGTGTAGCCAGGATCTAGGTACAGGTTGACCGCCAACAACCCAACCAGTGAAGGTCAAGTTTGATAAGACCTGCAGGGACTGGCTAACCCCGCTGTCCTTTTCTTCAGGTCAGTTTCCATAGTGTAACAGGACTATTCCCACCTTTCTTTCCTACTGCTGCAACTCCTGTGTAGCCAGGATCTACAGCTTGACTTCCAGGAGTTGACGAATCCCGCTGTTCATTTCTTCAGGTAAGTGTCTGTAGCGGGATTGTTCCCATTTCTCGTTCCTACCGCTGCAACTCCTGTTTAGCCAGGCTCCGAGACTATTCCCACCGCTGCAACTCCTGTGTAGCCAGAATCTACAGCTTGACTACCAATAATCCAACTAGTGAAGTAAGTTTGATAAGACTTGCAGGGACTGGCTAACCCCGCTGTCCATTTCTTCAGGTCTGTGTCCATACGGGACTATTCCCACCTCTCGTTTCCACCGCTGCAACTCTGTGTAGCCAGGATCTAGGTACAGGTTGACCGCCAACAACCCAACCAGTGAAGGTCAAGTTTGATAAGACCTGCAGGGACTGGCTAACCCCGCTGTCCTTTTCTTCAGGTCAGTTTCCATAGTGTAACAGGACTATTCCCACCTTTCTTTCCTACTGCTGCAACTCCTGTGTAGCCAGGATCTACAGCTTGACTTCCAGGGGTTGACGAATCCCGCTGTTCATTTCTTCAGGTCAGTGTCTGTAGCGGGATTGTTCCCATTTCTCGTTCCCACAGCTGCAACTCCTGTATAGCCAGGACCCGAGACTATTCCCACCGTTGCAACTCCTGTGTAGCCAGAATCTACAGCTTGACTACCAATAACCCAACTAGTGAAGGTCAAGTTTGACAAGACCTACAGAGACTGGCTTACCCCGCTGTCCATTTCTTCAGGTATTATGCTATGCCCTCTTTATGAGGACTCAAAACAAGAGCTGCTGCAGAGGATCGTGCTGAAAACACGGCCCTGCTTCTGCCCCGATCTGGTTTCTTTAGAGCAGTCTTTCCCAAAGTGGGCGATAACACCCCCTTGTGGGCGCTGCAGGCTTAAAGGGGGGCGGTAAGAGACCCAGAAAAAAAATCGGGACGTTGTGTAGCGGCTTGGGAGGCGTCATCTACTAGGAGGACTCTTAGACACCGACTAAGCACTCGACACTCGACTACAAATGGGGGCGCTAAAAAGAATTTATTCTCAAAGTGGGCAGTAGACAAAATAAGTTTGGAAACCACTGCTTTAGAGGCTTAAAGATTTTCGTGCAAGTGGCACAGGAGGAGAACGGAACCGCCATTCGTTTTAGTAATTCTCGCATGGACATGGGCCGTGCGCTGTAATAGGACTTTTCCCACCTCTCGGTTGGGTTATTGGCGGTCGAGCTATAGATCCTGGGTACACAGGAGTTGCAGCGGTAGGAACGACAACAGGTGAGAATAGACAATGAAATTTTAAACATGACTGCTTGACAGATCGTTGTGGTAACCCTTCGGCCATCGGGAAGGCCTTAGTCTAGTAATGTATGTCAATGGAACAAAAGTCTAATAAATTATACTTTTATTTGTCCACAGAGGATTACGCCATCGCAACGTGGCCGCTATGCGAGCGGCAACGCAGAGAGGCCTCGCTGCGTTGCAGGGCCCGGGCCACGCGAGCAACGCCGGGCCGCTAGCCGAGCCCGCCCGGGCCAGGCGGGCTCAGCTCACTATACAAGGGTTCAGATCTAACCCCAAAGGTATGTGATAATGTACTTTATTGTATAGGTCATAAGGCCTGTTTGCAAGGCACAGGCCACGTAGAGAGGCCTCGTTGCAGGGCCCGGGCCACGCGAGCAACGCCGGGCCGCTAGCCGAGCCCGCCCGGGCCAGGCGGGCTCAGCTCACTATAAAAGGGTTCCGATCCAACCCCAAAGGTATGTTATAATGTACTTTATTGTATAGGTCATAAGGCCTGTTTGCGAGGTCCAGGCCACGCAGAGAAGCCTCAGTGCCATGACCAGGGCCAGGCGGGCTCAGCTCACTATACAAGGGATCAGATCTAACCCCAAAGGTATGTTATAATGTACTTGTGGTTACCGTGTCAATAACATTTGTAATAAATTGCATTGTAAAGTTCAATGTCCAAATTGACACACGCACGGACACGTGACACCGAACTGTAATGTTTTAGTTAGGTATTATGAATAAATGAGTTGGAACTAGAATCTTGTGTTGATCACTTGGTTTCCCTGCCCTACACAACACTTAACTACTCACACGCACGAAGTACCCACATTGGTGACCCCGACGTGATTTTNATTTTTTTTAAATGCCTATTATTTTGAAAATATGCCACATAGATTTTTTTTTATATTTTTCTGATAACCAGCACAACTTGCCTCAACACCCAGTTCCGTGTTGACGTTACATTACGGGACACCCTGTATATGTATATAAAAGAAAGTCGTGTTAGTTACACCACTTATAACTCAAGAACGGCTGAACCGATTTAGCTGAAAATTGTCAGGGAGGTAGTTTAGAACCAGGAGAAGGACATAGGATACTTTTTATCCCGTTCGAAATTAAAAAAAAAGTCTGCTTATTTATTGCCATTAAGGCGGAACAAAGTTCGCCGGGTCAGCTAGTTGTTGAATAAATATTAAAAAGTAGATTCAAATAGACACTCAATTACAGTACTCTTACTACTGAACGCCTTACATGTAAACTCCAGTTTTCTTCAACTAAAAATTGGTAGGTACAGTCGCGGAATTTAAAGGTTCGTCACCTTAGTGTCGGTTTTCGCTTGCACCAAAGAGTCAAACCTGCCAACATAACAGTGCAAGAAACAGTGCTGCTAACATTTAAATAAATATGACGTTTGCTGACGAATAAGGTTTTGCTTGTTTATTTTTCTATCCCATCAGTGCAATGCAATGATGACATTGACCAATTGACAATAGTTTTTTTTATTTAATAGACATAATAATGGCAGGTTGAACCAACAAGAAGGTTTTAGTTTATCAATCATAATAATCTTCTTGATAAGATACCGACGTGATTTTCAACCGACGTGATCTTCAACCGACGTGATTTTCTCCAGTGCATCATCAAGCAAGAAAATTGCCAACGATGCCAGAGATACCAACTCCACAAGGCGTTTACCAGTATCAACAACAACAACAACAAGGAATGCATCCCAACGCACCGAGTACGTCATCTGCACAACAAACTACTGCGTCCGAAGTTTCATCCATCAGTGTGACCGCGAGGATTCCTGATTTTTGGATCGAGATACCACGACTTTGGTTCGCACAGTTCGAGTCAATCATGGCACCTCAGAAGCAGGGCGACGAATGCAAGTTCAATCTTGTCATCTCAAAATTAGGACGAGACACAATTCAACAAGTCGGCGACCTGTTACTCAATCCACCGTCCGAGCAAAAGTACAACGTATTGAAACAAAGATTATTGTCTATTTATGAAGAGTCTGCCGAGCGTCAATTCCAAAAACTCATCAGTGAAATAGAATTGGGAGACCAGAAACCATCACAACTCCTCCGAAAGATGTCAGAATTAGCACGGAATGCGAATGTTGCCGAATCCACCCTGCATAGTTTGTGGCTACAANCATGGCCTCACCATCGGTATAGATGACCGATCACAACGGCACTCTCATGGCCGTTCACAAAGGCACTCCCATGGCCTCACCATCGGTATAGATGACCGAACACAACGGCACTCTCATGGCCTATCACAAAGGCACTCTCATGGCCCTGTGGTTACCGTGTCAATAACATTTGTAATAAATTGCATTGTAAAGTTCAATGTCCTTCAGTGACACACGCACGGACACGTGACACCGAACTGTAATGTTTTAGTTAGGTATTATGAATAAATGAGTTGGAACTAGAATCTTGTGTTGATCACTTGGTTTCCCTGCCCTACGTAACACTTAACTACACACACGCACGAAGTACCCACATTGGTGACCCCGACGTGATTTTCAACCGACGTGATTTTCAACCGACGTGATCTTCTCAAGTGCATCATCAAGCAAGAAAATTGCCAACGATGCCAGAGATACCAACTCCACAAGGCGTCTACCAGTATCAACAGCAACAACCACAAGGAATGCATCCCAACGCACCGAGTACGTCATCTGCACAACAAACTACTGCGTCCGAAGTTTCATCCATCAGTGTGACCGCGAGGATTCCTGATTTTTGGATCGAGATACCACGACTTTGGTTCGCACAGTTCGAGTCAATCATGGCACCTCAGAAGCAGGGCGACGAATGCAAGTTTAATCTTGTCATCTCAAAATTAGGACGAGACACAATTCAACAAGTCGGCGACCTGTTACTCAATCCACCGTCCGAGCAAAAGTACAACGTATTGAAACAAAGATTATTGTCTATTTATGAAGAGTCTGCCGAGCGTCAATTCCAAAAACTCATCAGTGAAATAGAATTGGGAGACCAGAAACCATCACAACTCCTCCGAAAGATGTCAGAATTAGCACGGAATGCGAATGTTGCCGAATCCACCCTGCATAGTTTGTGGCTACAACGACTACCAGGCTCAGTCAGGGCGGTCTTAACGGTCAGCCAGGATCAGAAACTGGATAATCTAGCCGCCATTGCCGATAAAATCATGGAAAACGTAAGATTGCATGAAGTGTCTGAAGTAGCAAGCTCAAGCTCTTCAAGTGCGTTTCCAATAAATGAGTTAATGTCACATATCAACAAACTGTCTTTGGAGGTCGCTGAACTCAGAAACAGCCGATTTAATACACGTGGCCGAGGGCGCGGATTGAATTCAAGATTCCGTGGTCGTTCCCGATCCAGACAAAGAAGAGATCAGAATAGTCCTAACTGGCTGTGTTATTACCACCACCGATTCAGAGGTCAAGCACAGAAATGCGAACAACCCTGCTCCTGGAAGACGAAGTCGGAAAACTCCCAGTAGTGTTGACGGAGGCGGACGTCAGCGCTATACTACCATCAAGCCGCCTGTGCGTTACCGATCGAAAAAGTCGGTATCGTTTTCTGATTGATACGGGGGCTAACATCTCCGTTATCCCGAGAACAAGAAGAGCAATACAATCGCATGAATACAAATTATACGCTGCAAACGGGAGCGAAATAAAAACATATGGTGAACGAACTCTTGACCTAGATCTCGGATTACGTCGGCCGTATCGATGGACGTTTGTCATCGCTGACGTCAAGCAGCCGATTATAGGCGCCGATTTCCTAGATAAACATTACCTACTTGTCGATATGCGCCAGAAAAAATTAATTGACGGGGTTACGGGATTATTAACACCCGCACGTGTGACCACATCTAGTATACCTACTATAAAAACCATCAACGCTCAAACCCCATACGCCGACATCCTAGAACAATATCCAGACGCGTCTGGATATTGTTCTAGGATGTCAGCGTATGGGGTTTGCTAGACGTCACGAAACCATTTTGCGCGAAAGAAACCCCGAAACACAACGTCGTCCATCAAATCATCACGGAAGGACATCCTGTTGTATCCAAGTGCCGCCAACTGTCAGCCGACAAGTATAAGCTGGTAAAAAACGAGATTGAACACATGCTCGCAGCTGGAATTTGTAGACCATCCAAAAGCGCATGGGCAAGTCCAATACACGTCACCAAGAAAAAAGACGGTAGTATCCGGCTATGCGGCGACTATAGAAAATTAAACGCCATCACCAAGCCAGATCGGTATCCCATTCCAAGGCTCTTAGACTTCACCTACCTGTTACCTAAGAAGAACATATTCACCAGAATTGATCTCAAAAGAGCTTACAACCAGGTACCNATACACGTTACCAAGAAAAAAGACGGTAGTATCCGGCTATGCGGCGATTATAGAAAATTAAACGCCATCACCAAGCCAGATCGGTATCCCATTCCAAGGCTGTTAGACTTCACCTACTTGTTACCTAAGAAGAACATATTCACTAGGATTGATCTCAAAAGAGCTTACAACCAAGTACCAGTCGAAGAAATAGAAAAAACGGCAATAATTACACCGTTTGGACTATTTGAATTTCCCCGTATGCCATTCGGACTTCGCAATGCAGGGCAAACCTTCATGAGGTTCATGAATGAGATAATGAGTGGACTGGATTATGTTTTCTGCTTCGTAGACGATATCCTGATCGCATCAGAATCTCAAGATCGTCATCGGGAACACATAGATGAAGTGTTTAAGCGTTTGAACAACCACGGGATAACAATCAACATGGAAAAATGCGTATTCGGCCAGCCAGAAATAGAATTCCTAGGATACAAAATTACAACAGACGGTATAAGCCCACTACCTGAAAGAGTCGAAGCCATTGATGAGTATCCATTGCCNCTTCACCTACCTTTTACCTAAGAAGAACATATTCACCAGAATTGATCTCAAAAGAGCTTACAACCAAGTATCAGTCGAAGAAATAGAAAAAACGGCAATAGTAACACCGTTTGGACTATTTGAATTTCCCCGCATGCCATTCGGACTTCGCAATGCAGGGCAAACCTTCATGAGGTTCATGAATGAGATATTGAGTGGACTGGATTATGTTTTCTGCTTCGTAGACGATATCCTGATTGCATCAGAATCTCAAGATCGTCATCGGGAACACATAGATGAAGTGTTTAAGCGTTTGAACAACCACGGGATAACCATCAATATGGAAAAATGCGTATACGGCCAGCCAGAAATAGAATTCCTAGGATACAAAATTACAACAGATGGTATAAGCCCACTACCTGAAAGAGTCGAAGCCATTGATGAGTATCCATTGCCAAAGACGGTACGAGATTTGAAACGTTTCCTGGGTATGCTAAATTTCTACAGAACTAGCATACCGAGATCAGCCGCGTACCAGGCCCCGCTAAATAAATACATGTGTGGAAATGGCACGAAACATAACAACCATAACATCGAGTGGAATGACGAAACCAGGGAAGCATTCATCCAGTGCAAGAATAGTTTGAAAAAAGCTATCGCGCTGAGTCCTCCCACACCTGACGCACCGCTCTCCCTAATGACAGACGCGTCACAAACATGCGTTGGTGCCGTTCTCCAACAATATGTCAACAAACAATGGAAACCGATAGCATTTTTCTCAAAATCTCTATCACAAACACAACAAGGATACAGCACATACGACAGGGAGCTACTAGCGATCTACATGGCGATATCTCATTTTCAAAGCTACTGTGAGGGACACGAAGTCATCGTATACACGGATCATAAACCTTTGTCGTTTATGTTCAAAAATAAACAAACAGTATGTAAAGAAAAAATATCACCAAGACGATTACGCCAATTGGATTACATTGCACAATTTACGTCCGATATACGACACCTCTCGGGAGCGCAGAACCCAGTGGCCGACGCGCTGTCTCGAATATCACAGATAGACTTCCCCGATAAGATCGACTGGAATGAATTCGCAGCGCAACAAATGTCTGATCCCGAAATGATGAAACTTTTACAAAATGACAGATTGAAATGGAAGAAAATTAGTTTAACAGACAGTCAATTACTATATTGTGAAGTATCGACCGGCGAAGTGCGACCGTATGTACCGAGCATATTTCGTAAACAAATATTCAGTACATTACATGACGTCACACACCCAGGAATCAGATCTACCAGGAAGTTAATTCAAAAACATTACTTTTGGCCTAGCATGAATCAGGATACAAATCGTTGGGCCAAGGAATGTTTATCCTGTCAAAAATCGAAGATTTTTCGCCATAACAACTCGCCGATTTCGCAATTCCCCGAGTCCGCACGATTTGATCACGTGCATATTGATATAGTTGGACCGCTACCTATATCTAATAACAATAGGTATGTGATCACGTTTATTGACCGATTCACCCGATGGCCTGAAGCCGTACCCGTACCAGAGGTCACAGCTGAGATCGTAGCAAAAACGTTCTACAACACCTGGATTTCAAGATTTGGATGCCCTATCAGGATGACAACAGATCAGGGACGTCAATTTGAATCCAATCTGTTCACATCACTAGCTAAATTAATGGGAATCAAGAAAATTAGGACCACCAGCTATCATCCCCAATCCAACGGAATAGTGGAACGATGGCACAGAACTATGAAGACTGCTATTATTGCACGAGGAAATGCCAGAGATTGGTCGCAGGAGTTACCCACCGTATTACTGGGACTGCGTACCACTCTCCGCCAAGGGTGCGACGTAAGCCCAGCTCAGATGGTGTATGGTACCAATGTCAGATTACCCGGGATTTTCTTCGATGGAAGTAAGAAGAACGACAACATTTCACCGAATCGTATGTTGAGGATCTACAGCGCTCCATCCAAAGCACTAAACCGATTCCAAATAACCACAATCACAAGCAAAACATTTTTGTGTACAAGGACATGAACACATGTAATTATGTGTTTGTCAGGACAGATGCTGTGAAAAAGCCATTGGTTTCACCATATGAAGGTCCGTACAGAGTATTAGAACGTCATGAAAAATATTTCAAGATACAATTGCCTAATCGCATCGCAGTTGTTTCTATCGACCGCTTAAAGCCAGCGTTCATAGTACAAGATGTCGATGAACCTCAAATTGCACAGACTGCAGAAAAACCGCAAGGCTCAATTACGAAAACAGCCAACGGACACACGACGCCACCGCACGTGACCAAGTTCGGCAGAGTCAGCAAACCAGTAGTCCGATTTTGTAGTTAATTGTTCATCATTATACGCAAATCATTGACACCAATCGGTCACCTGTTAACCAAGCTCGCAATCTATCAACATGGGAGGATATTCATCGAAGGACGAAATAGTCGTCTCACAGGCCCAATCAACGACCAGTGGAGGGTCGGCCTCAACAGTTTCTGAGGTAACAAGGACCGAAATACTAATGGGATCCATCTGCCTCATATTCTTCATCTTGGCGGCGTATTACATATTCAAGAAATGCATAGCCCGAGGACGGAGGGCCATGGCCAAAGAACTTGGAAGGTTGGCTGTGGCAAACGGCATCCCGATGACACCGGCGGCGCCGGCTACGGCGACACCGGCGGTGATATCGTTGCCCTCGCAGGGGCAAGCCCAAGTGAACCCCGCGTTTATACCCTGACTGTGAAGTGAGTGATTTAAAAACGTTACAGTGAAACAGTGTAGTGAAAATTGTAAAATTGTAAATGTGCGTGAAAANTACTGCCCTAGTCCAGTTTTTCAATACTGCCTCGGAAAATGCTATGAATTCTAAGCACTTTCTTCTTAGGTCATATTTTAATAGCTCAAAAAACAAAAAAGTTATTGTCGAATAAAAAAATAAAAAATCTTTTTTTGCTTCTCCTGAAAAGTCGTACTTTGTCCTTTACGACCTTTGAGCCCAGAGGTATCGATATGAAGGTCCGTACAGAGTATTAGAACGTCATGAAAAATATTTCAAGATACAATTGCCTAATCGCATCGCAGTTGTTTCTATCGACCGCTTAAAGCCAGCGTTCATAGTACAAGACGTCGATGAACCCCAAATTGCACAGACTGCAGAAAAACCGCAAGGCTCAATTACGAAAACAGCCAACGGACACACGACGCCACCGTACGTGACCAAGTTCGGCAGAGTCAGCAAACCAGTAGTCCGATTTTGTAGTTAATTGTTCATCATTATACGCAAATCATTGACACCAATCAGTCACCTGTTAACCAAGCTCGCAATCTATCAACATGGGAGGATATTCATCGAAGGACGAAATAGTCGTCTCACAGGCCCAATCAACGGCCAGTGGAGGGTCGGCCTCAACAGTTTCTGAGGTAACAAGGACCGAACTACTAATGGGATCCATCTGCCTCATATTCTTCATCTTGGCGGCGTGTTACATATTCAAGAAATGCATAGCCCGAGGACGGAGGGCCATGGCCAAAGAACTTGGAAGGTTGGCTGTGGCAAACGGCATCCCGATGACACCGGCGGCGCCGGCTACGGCGACACCGGCGGTGATATCGTTGCCCTCGCAGGGGCAAGCCCAAGTGAACCCCGCGTTTATACCCTGACTGTGAAGTGAGTGATTTAAAAACGTTACAGTGAAACAGTGTAGTGAAAATTGTAAATGTGCGTGAAAACTCCTAACCATTTTATTTAATTACGAAATTAAATATCCATCTTGTATGTTGTAACCATTTTGTTTATGTAAATGTTTGTAAGATTTTTTTTAAAATTTACTTAAACCCATATTTTATGAAATGTTATATTGTATACTTTTTGTCGATATTTTTATTGTGTTCGTTTATTTTTGTTATCTAAACGTCATTTATTATTTAATTTGTAGGTATTTTTATTGTCTAAATTGTTTTTCTATTTTTTAATTGTGCCAATTAATTTTCAAAGGGGGAGAGTAATGTGGTTACCGTGTCAATAACATTTGTAATAAATTGCATTGTAAAGTTCAATGTCCAAATTGACACACGCACGGACACGTGACACCGAACTGTAATGTTTTAGTTAGGTATTATGAATAAATGAGTTGGAACTAGAATCTTGTGTTGATCACTTGGTTTCCCTGCCCTACACAACACTTAACTACACACACGCACGAAGTACCCACAAGTACTTGAAAAGCTGTGACTTCTAAAACGATTAATATTGACAACGATTTCAGTGACCAACTAGAATATTATGTTTTTTTCTGGAAACAAGTAGGTACGAGATACGAACGAAGTACCCAAATTATTATGAATCCGAGGACATTGACATTCTGTGTGACGGTCGGTGTATTCAACAGTCGATAAAATATACCAATTTGTACAGCCTTACCAAGTCTTTCGCGTTCTACTAAAGTTATGAGTATATCGAAGCACAAAATATAAATAACATCGATAAAGATTTTCCGAGCACTGACAACACCATCTCATAAAGTAACGGATGGAAATAATTACCGAATTGCTGACAGATATTTATCGACGTAGTGAATAAAAATAATGATGATGTTTATGTCTATATTTCACCAATAATTGCTCTTTTATTATTATTTAGGAATACCAATTGAATAACACGACTTCAATTTATTGGTACACTAGCTTTCCGCCNACACCGGCGGCGCCGGCTACGGCGACACCGGCGGTGATATCGTTGCCCTCGCAGGGGCAAGCCCAAGTGAACCCCGCGTTTATACCCTGACTGTGAAGTGAGTGATTTAAAAACGTTACAGTGAAACAGTGTAGTGAAAATTGTAAAATTGTAAATGTGCGTGAAAACTCATAACCATTTTATTTAATTACCAAATTAAATATCAATCTTGTATGTTGTAACCATTTTGTTTATGTAAATAATTGTAAGATTTTTTTTTAACAATTTACTACCATATTTTATGAAATGTTAAATTATATACTTTTTGTCGATATTTTTATTGTGTTCGTTTATTTTTGTTATCTAAGCGTCATATATTATTTAATTTGTATTTTTATTGTCTAAATTGTTTTTCTATTTTTAATTGTGCCAATTAATTTTCAAAGGGGGAGAGTAATGTGGTTACCGTGTCAATAACATTTGTAATAAATTGCATTGTAAAGTTCAATGTCCAAATTGACACACGCACGGACACGTGACACCGAACTGTAATGTTTTAGTTAGGTATTATGAATAAATGAGTTGGAACTAGAATCTTGTGTTGATCACTTGGTTTCCCTGCCCTACACAACACTTAACTACACACACGCACGAAGTACCCACAAGTACTTGAAAAGCTGTGACTTCTAAAACGATTAATATTGACAACGATTTCAGTGACCAACTAGAATATTATGTTTTTTTCTGGAAACAAGTAGGTACGAGATACGAACGAAGTACCCAAATTATTATGAATCCGAGGACATTGACATTCTGTGTGACGGTCGGTGTATTCAACAGTCGATAAAATATACCAATTTGTACAGCCTTACCAAGTCTTTCGCGTTCTACTAAAGTTATGAGTATATCGAAGCACAAAATATAAATAACATCGATAAAGATTTTCCGAGCACTGACAACACCATCTCATAAAGTAACGGATGGAAATAATTACCGAATTGCTGACAGATATTTATCGACGTAGTGAATAAAAATAATGATGATGTTTATGTCTATATTTCACCAATAATTGCTCTTTTATTATTATTTAGGAATACCAATTGAATAACACGACTTCAATTTATTGGTACACTAGCTTTCCGCCCGCGGCTTCACCCGCGTGGAATTTTGTCTGTCACAGAAAAACTTTATCGCGCGCGTCCCTGTTTCAAAAACCGGGATAAAAACTATCCTATGTTCTTTCCCGGGACTCAAACTATCTCTATGCCAAATTTCATCAAAATCGGTTGCGAGATTTAAGCGGGAAAGCGTAACAGACAGACAGACAGACAGACAGACAGAGTTACTTTCGCATTTATAATATTAGTTGGGATACCTACTTTGTATCATCTTTCAAATATTTCTCCATAGATTGTCTTCTACGTAATATTCATTGTTAACTTGGCAACGGCATGGATATTTCATGCAATTGATTTCAAAACTATTACATTATAAGTACCTACCTATGATAAGAAATATCTTTTTAATGCTGGTAAACATCTATAAAATTTTATGCGTATTTTCAACAAGTCTCAGTTACTAGATAAAAAAACGTAATTATTGTAAGTTTAATAAGATTTTTACCAATCGATCAACATGGAAAGCATTGGGGGAGGCCTATGTTCAGCAGTAGACATCCTATGGCTGAAATGATGATGATGATGATGAAGATTTTTAATATAAAATCCATCTAAGATGCTCACCAAATAAATCCTCATAGAACTTACCCCGAATTTATCGCCTGTTTCCCACAAAAGAATCAAATAAAACACGCAAGAGAAATCTCCTTATTTACACCCGCACTGACGGCCAAATACCAGGGTATCAGGGCTGGGTGGAGGTCACGACGATATTTCACTTTTAGGGCAAGAACTCATGACGCTGTTTTCATCCTTAAATCTATATCTATACTAATATTATAAATGCGAAAGTAACTCTGTCTGTCTTGCTTTAACGCCTAAATCAGTAAATCGATTTTTATGAAATTTGGCATAGAGATAGTTTGAGTCTCGGGAAAGGACACAGGATAGTTTTTATCCCGGTTTTCGAAACAGGGACGCGCGCGATAAAGTTTTTCTGTGACAGACAAAAATCCACGCGGGCGAAGACGCGGTAGAAAAGTTAGTTGCATATATTTTGGGTTAAAATCGTTTCCCGCTTTGGTCGCAGGTTATGATGGAATAGACACACTACGACTATGACAACTAAACTTAAGATTTTAGGTGGAATAAAAAAAATGGAATCAAAATATGAATGAAATTTTTTCGATAAATGATTGCAGATTATACACGGGATAGACACACAACACGACAGCTAATCTTTAGGTTTTTAGATGGTATTAAGCAAAAGAAAGTGGCTAAATTGAAATGATGAAAATTCAAGATCCGTAGTGTCAAAAACTCGGGATGTAAGAGTCAACAGAAGTTAGAGAAGATACTATATGATATATATCATATATAGATAGATATATATGATAATAAAATGTAATTGCGATGACTCATAAAATGCCACAACAGGGTTTTCTTAAATAGGATGGTTAATGGGACAATAACAAATGTGGACAAAGATGACAAGATTTTACGAAGTTACAAAAAACAACTACGCACAGAGAGTTAAAATAGTAAAATAAGTATGAGATAGTTACTTTTCGAATGCTAATTTCAATTCTAATTAATAAATTAATATCTCGAGTGTGCAGTGTGTGAGCGTGAGCAGTGGTAGAGTTTACGTAAAAAAAAAATATGCTGAAACACGGAAATGACATGTAAAGTTATTTTGAGTAATTCATTAAGGCTACAAAAAAGACATTTTTGATTTTATGAAATGTTAAAAAATTTACAGAAATGATTTTGGACAAAACGTGTCATGGCATCTAATGCGTTAAAACCTATGGCTCTTGTGATTTTTGAAGTATTTTCAAAATAGCTTGATATAAACGCCCATGAGTTCCAACCCTTACGCGGAGAAGCCCATGTTTGTCAAGGGCTGCTAGTTATGGCTCCTCCGAGTAACCTTCCTAATCCCCTTCGAGGGGTCACAGTGGAAAATGCTACAGTATACTTAAACTGCACTTATTTGTCAAACCGGAAAGGGATCGTGACCGTATCCAACTCCAGGTGGTCAGTATTCTTTGTATGAAACTCTACCTAATGTAGTTAATCGCACCGGAACATAAACGTCTCGCCACGCAATTGACAGCGCGCAAAAGGCGATGACAGCTCGCGAAATTCTATACAGAGTTGATCCCTTTCCGAGTTGATAAGTCTGCTATAAGCTTTAAGCTGCACTTCTGCTTATTTCTACCATGTGAGTAATGTTTTATCTTTGACATCTAAACGTGTGTTTCATCTAATAACTTTCAGTGATTATAATCGCTTGCTTATTGCGATGATTTATGTTTGTAATGTATTGATGAAGTCCGAATCCACATCAACACAACTACATATTGAATTTGCAAAATTTTACGACGTTAAAAGCTGACTGTTATGGATTGTGTTGTCTTCTCGTACTGCATGGATTTTTATAACTTTTTTATGGCTAGAATAAAAATGTTAGATTTTTTTATTCCCTTTTCTGTTTGGTACTGGCAGGGGAAGATAAATAAAAGAAATTTTATTACCAAAATAAAGAGCGATGCTAGGTGGTTAAGAGTTCACTTATTTCGTCCAAAGATCTTTTGCACTGTGGTCATATTTTGAACATGTTGTACTGGTGGTACTGTATGTACTTATACTGTGGTGGGGGCTGACCTAAAATTGAAATTCTCGGCCTTTCTAAGTGGATGTTTTGGAGACGCACTTCGCAACATTAAACTTTAACACAGCGATTCGTTACTCTCCAGTTTCGTGGAAATTTACTTATTTACCGAAACAGTATTCATTAAGTTGAGTGTAGAAATTCGTTTTTATGTCTCGCTTATTTTATAGTTTTAATGACTTAAGATAAGCAGACAATATAAATTTTATACGGTTAAAAACCAACTTGTCTAATTAATTTGGAGTCAAGAATTGAGTGTCTCAATTTTGGGGAATGTACTGTGTATCATTGAGTAGAGTCTTATTTTAAAAGGATACCAACGTTTAAATTTCACCCTATTAATATTTTGGATAAATATTACTTAAAAGATGCTTTCTTAAGTGACCCAGCAAATCGAACGCACAGAGCTGAATAGAGCTCTGTGATTGGTTCCCTGTGCGTCCACGCACACTGTGAGACCTCAAAGTTGTGTTTGTGAATACGGGCGTATATCGAGCACAAATACAAAATAAAATACAGCATTAATATCTTGTAGGTAGGTATTACGTTCAAAGCACACGCAAATAAGCTTTGACTTATCAACTGCTACATGCCCTCTAGAATTAATTTCATATTATGTACCTCGTATTATAATGGAACGGTTTATTCGCGAATATCTCAACCAACACAAAATCTGAGGAATTTGTTCATTAAACACAAAGGTAATTAAAGATACGTCCTCCGGAATTTCTACCGCAAGTGACTTATACCAAATTACATTTAATCTTGTTACAGTGTATTCAAACTTGAGTCTGTTAAAATAGAGTTCATTTCGGCGTGGATATTACAGAGGTTCTGACTTCTGAAACTCAATTGTAAGAGTAAATCGGATGTCATTATAGAACGTTCGATAAATGTCGCAAGTTAGGGCGACATTTTTGACGCAATTCTCGAACGCTTTGGGGACATCTGTAAACTAATTTTAATTTGGTTCATCGCGATTCGCAATCCAAGATTCTATTATCTTCTCGTACTTGTAGTAATTTATTTCTTTCCTTTTTTCCTGTTCATATAAATTACGTTTTCTGAGTACTTTTTCTCCCTCATGTTTGTGTATGACGCGAATGCACGCTAGTGTTTTGTTTTATGTTCATAACCTTGCCTAATTTTTATTTATTTGCAATTAACCCACAGTTATAATCATTGTTCAGCCACTGTAACCTTTTATCGCGCTTCATTTGATCAACATTTCTTATCCAATTCATATTATACTGATTCTTATTACCTACTGAGTCATTAATTTATTACTGAGTCTATCGATGTTTTTTCTCTACAAAAGTAACTTCTACATACATTAATTTTACTTTTGACGGCTCTTTTTTCACAGCTCTTATTGTAAATAACTTGTAGATACAAGTGCCGAACGTAGGTACATATACTAGTAACTAACCTCAAACTACATTATCGTAGTACAGTTTAACTCC